CTGCTGCCTCTGCCGTTGCTGGTGTTGCCTCTTCTGTTGCTGCTAGTGCTACTGTTACTGCCTCTGCTGCCTCTAATATTGCCACTGCTTCTGCTGCTACTCGTGCTGCTGATGTTGCGACCATGGTTGCCTCTGCTGCTTCGGCTGCCTCTGATGATGTCGGCCCATGCGGGGCAGCGGTGGTTCGGAGAGGGCGTGCCCATACATCCATGTCGGATGCGAGTTTTGTGGCCAGATTCGTTGCTTCATAGTGTGGGCTCTCTCCAGTTGGAGTTAAAGACCATGTGAGTGGTTAACTCCAATGGGTTTGCTTGTCCAGTTTCGTCAAAAGAGCCTTGTCCCACATACACCAGAGCACTCTCCCAGCGTTGTCTAGAGTTGTGAAAGAGATCCACAACTCCTGGAGGAGGAACGATTGTGACAGCTGCATCGAGTTCTGAAGTGGTCATGCCGACCCCTGGAGTGAGAAGGGACTCCATCTCTTATTCATCGTGAGTTTCGAGTCCAGTTCTAACTATGTTGCTGGAAGAGGCTGTCGGAGTTCGACAGGTACGGCAGATGTCGTCTAGTCCAGGGTCGTGCAGGTCAGTTTCAGCTGGGTGGATATGATAGGCGACCGTTGAGGTGAGTCCACTCCTTTTCGTTCTTCCATGCGAAATTCATAGGAACGAGGTCAATCAGGTCATGGCTATCGCCGCTGCAGTTGGGGATGTTGAAGTCTAGAACATTGAATCCGTAGACTGCTTTTGCCTTGCCGATGTACCGAAGCGGGTTCTCAGGTTCGCTTGGTAAGTTGGGTTTTTGATACTGTAACACGAGGTGCCGTGTTGGAGGGTCGGTGCTGATTTTGATCCTTCATGACATCAGCTAAGCTGTTGAGAGTAAGTTGTAGCGGAGATTTTGAACAATCAGCACGGCGTTCAGAGTGTTCTGGGTCAGGGTATTGCGAGCCTATAGTACGACAATCCCTTGGTGCTTGACCATCAATCATTCGTTGTTGGTGACGGTGACGTAGGCTGCAGTGGGGGTTGGGATGGCGTTGAAGATGAATCACGCCGATTCAACCATGTGCTGTCCGCAACAAATGTCAAGGTACCAGGTATTGTAGTTGTCTCGGTTGTTGTGGGCGATCATTGCGATCCTCAGGGTGAGCAGATAAGGACGATTTGAATCGTGCATGGGGTGGTCCTTGGGGAAGGAGTCCCAGCTATGTCAGTCGCCTCCGAACGTCGTGTTGGGGATGTAAGGTATAGGCTCCAGCAGAGGAATGGGGAGATTCCATTCTTGCTCCCCCTCATCGCCATCGTAGCTGCCGTATTCGTCGTAAGGGTTGGTGTAGTCTTATTGCCTTACTGCCATAACGAATTCCCCTTGGCTTGGTCATGGCGGGGGAACGCGGGGGCATCAATTTGCTCGTCGTGTGGGACCCCGTGATCTCATCGCCATGAAGACTTGGTGGTGGGTTGGTTGACCATGCATGCCTGGCTTAGTCGGACGAGGGTCCGAGGATGCAGGAGGGCGCGGGACTAGTCACGTGCGACTGGTCTGGCGTAGGTCCTGTAGTGAAGGTGCGCTGGGTCTCCTCTGGTGGGAGTGTTCCCATTGACTTCCACTTGGGATTGGTGTGTAAGATGGTTTTGCGCTGCTTCCCACCCGGTTTTGGTAGTGCTCAATAGAGTGTCCGAAGGTTTTGCAGAGTTTGCAAAAGTAGCGGCGACTGCGTGTGTCATGGCGAGGCTCCTTCTAGCCCGAGTTGTAAGAGGATGAGGCTTGCCGAATCCTTGATCCCTGCTATTTTCTATTTGCTATTTATTGTGTGTTATTTTGTGTGTTTTTTCTTTTCTGGAAATCCCTACGCTCTTCCCCTACACCGTGATATATTATCTATCATATGTGTAAGAGTGTTTCAGACTTTCCTTGCGTGACACGTTTTCTATTGCGTGGAGTGTTCCGTCACCGTCACCATATCTCTAGAATCCATACCGTGCTTCTAGGTGGTGTTCCTATGGACGGTTCCACTCATTTTTAGAATTGTCTTAGAAGGTCCTACTTTCCCTTCTCTAGAGTTCTCGTAGGTATAAATAGCATTGACTCTTTGCTTGTAGACATTCAATTCTTGATTAAATTCTTGATTAGTATCATTCAAGCTTCCGCTAAATCCTGGACCTGTAACACGAGTAGAAGACTAGCTTTTCTTTGCGCGGAGCTCTCTCATTTTAGAGGTCCATGTCCGACTACTCAGCCAGCAGGGTTGCGCAAAGAGTTGGTTCGGAGGATTTCGCCCTGTTGGTGTAGTAAGGCTTTGCACGGTCACCATTCGGGGGTAAGTCTGGCGAGTACGATCATCACGAACATATATTCAGTGATCGTTTTCCCAAGCTTGACGATCTGATTGCGGGTGCTTCTGCAGCGGTTAATATAATTGTTGGCCTTCTCTCCTAATACCATCTTCACTTCTAGTAGCTATCTGAGTAGTCTACTTGACGACATGGAGTTCTTCGGTTGATAGAGATTTGTCAGGTATAGCCAGGAGTCTCGTGCCGGAGCAGGGCGTGTTTTGAACGATCTGATTCTGAGTTGCTCAGAAGCTGATAGATTCTGTAGAACAACGTTGTATGGCATGAGCGATTCGTTGTAGTATCGATGCTTCGCATCGTCGGTGTTGATTGTTGATCCGAGATAATAGCTGTCGAAGTAGCATAAGATTTGAGCGCTCGGCACGAGAAGCTCGAACTCGAAACTCCAAGTGTAGAAATTACGATCGTCAAAGATTGAGCTAGTTCTAATATTTGAAACAGCGAAGAACTTCGATTGTGTTGCCTGCAGGGCTTCGTCACTTAATCGTGTACTTGTAGGTGGTTGCCTGTTGGAAGCGTCGAAGTTGAAGAAGCCCGATGTGGAGTCCTTGTCTACAGAGGTTGGTTACGTTTCAGTGGTTTGGCAAGTGGTGCTCAAATCGACGATCTTGAGATATTGAAGTCTATCTTCAAGAGTTGTCATTCGTTGGAGCAATTTTTTTAGGAGTCATGTGGGCACAGATGTCATTGTTGCTGGATTCGGGGTGTTTGCAGGTGTTTCGGGAGCGGGCTTCCTTGCCCTCGTGATCTCGAGCCTGGGGCCATTGTGTGGCGTGAATGAGTCACTGATGCCACGATATTTGAATCTAAAAATGAACAAGGGTGTCATGTGTAGAATCCTGATAGGCTTATGTTTACCATGAAACGATGCAATATAGTCCGTCGGATCTTCAGGATTGAACTGCGGTAGTGCGCTTTGTGGAAGCGATTGATTGGATGATGAACTCTGTCAGAGTGAATGTAACCTAACAGAGTTAATTATGCCAAAGGGATACAGGGTTCATATAGTGATACAAGAGAATGCGAAGGGTCTAACTAAGATGCACTTAGCAGGGGTACATTCCCTTTGAGGTTCTAGATCCGACTCGGGTAACTGTACGCGACTCGGATAACCATCCGTGTTGTATAACATGGTCAGTTATGTGTCCTTGCTGTTGTGACGGACCCTTGGACTTCTGTCTGTTCGACTGTCGGTTAATGGTCAACGACCGTTGCACTTCGTACTCCGCGTCATGAGCTTGGACTCGACAAGGGTTACGCCTCGAGTGTCACTTTCAGGAATGCAAGCAATTCCTTATCGTAACACCCCTCAGGCATAGCAGTTTGCGGCCTTTCCGATGAACTTCCAGGGCGACCCCAGTGGGTCTCTTGGCATATAGGATCAAAAACACAATCGCCTGATCCTACTTTGTAGGACGCCGCCCTAAAAGTCAACAGAAAAGAATGTCCCAGGATTAGCGTAGTCGCGATGTGGCCCTTAGGAATATCGATGAGTAGTGTCATGCTAATGGGGCAGTGCCTACGAACTTAATCCGCTTTGAGGCTTCGACCTATGGACATGTGGTGTGCGAGAGCCAACGTGTGAGAAGCATGGCTTCCAGTAGGTTTTTTTTTTTTTTTTTTTAAGGGTTTAGGCTTTGCACAAAACCACTCGTAGTGTTCGGCCAGTTCTTTCTGACGGATAGAGAAATGCACGAACACGGAGGCAATTGATAGAGACCTAAGCAGGAGGCTTCCATCTATTTCACACGCCTGAAATTCCTGAAGTCATTACATACATACTTTGTGTTGGCAGGATTTTTAGGGGGGGAAAATTTAAGGAAACTTTCATCTACAAAATATTCAAGACTTGAGAAGGGGTTTGCTGTATGGAAACACTCGGATGAGGAGGGGGGGGTGGAGCGAGTAAGAGTTCTCAACACATTAGGGAAGGATGACATGAGAGGGGGTGGGGGTGAGGGGTAGGGGGGGGGAGCGAAGTAGGAGGTGTGTGGTTAAAACCATACGGATACCCCCCAAAACTTCCTGCTTAGAACGGGCAGGGCCTAAAACGGCCCTGAACGAGTACGAGAGGACTTTTACTGGACCCTGTACGTCCGAGGGTTCTGCCGAAAATTAGCTTGAAATCAAGTCAAGAACAGCCATTGACCCAGTTAGCATAAGCCCTAGTGAGAAGCACGACGTTGTTGGCGACGGTAAGAGTTGGGTCTTGAGGGGACAAAACGCTATAAATGGCCTTGCTGTTGGATTGGGTGGAACACGAAGTTTTTGTGTGGCTGACTCCAGCATTTTTTGTGTTATGGGTGCACTGAGTGGAGGCAGCGTTTTGTGCTCCACAGCACATTTTTCCCGTGTTTGTCTCTGGGGTTGAGTGACATTCTTGTATGGATTTACTACACCTGGTAAATCGGAGTGTGGTAAATTCTGGCATTCCTGCATTCTATGGGTCTTGGATTTGATGACTCCTTCAGTGTGTAAGGGCCTATTCCTATGAAGCGGGATCAGGGACGGAATTGCACGGTACTGTGCGTTTCAAGTTTTGCGTGTTTGACTTTGGTTCCACGCGAGTCTGATCCAGATCCTGCGATGCAAGACCAAGCCCTAAGTCCTCCGTCGCTCGCCACTGCCACTGCTTAAGTCAATTGATCTAGGAAACCTGCTCCTCTATTCTCCCACTGCTTGTTTATCCGTCCTAAAATTTTCTGCGCTACAGTTATATTTTGTTCTTGCACTTGAAATGATAGAGACGGATATGTCGGGGGAACGAGATGAATAAGGGCAAGCCCTTGCGAGCCAGCTCGACGCCTACCGCGAGCCGAGGCACTTCCCCGCACCACCGTAGCAAGCGACCACGTCAGCAGGAATCAGATTCCACGTCAGCGAGGCGGTATGTGGTGGCGGTGCACGTGGGAGCTGGTTACCACTCCAAGCGTTACGAGCAGCGGTATCTGCGCGCCATGCGCGACGCTCTCGCAGCCGCGGAGCGGGTGTTGCGCGGAGCTGGCGGAAGATTGGCGGAAGGGCAGGGAGCGGAGTGCGGGGGGGATGAAGGAGGAAGGAGACCGGATCTAGGCGATCGCGCAACGGCGGGTTCTTGTTCAAACTGCTGTTGTTCGTCCACGTGTACAGCTGTAGATGCTGTTGTGGCAGCCGTTAAATGCTTAGAGGTGCGTCACTAATCGGAGCTGGCGCCACGTGTCAGTTCATCCGAGAGCATTCAAGACATTAATTTCACCGTGTCACCTTCATTTCACCATGTCACCTTCATTTTACCGTGCTACACTCATTTGGCCAGACAATTATTATGGATATGCTCACTCATGCATCGATTGGCTCCACTGCAAACCCATGTAGCAGAGTCACAGCATCACCAATGCTGCCCGGGGATCCAATCTGACTGAAAAGGGGGAGGTGGAGTGCGATGCAAGCATTTTGGGCAGCATTCCGTGCAGCACAGCAAAGCTGTTTGGCGCCGTAGCAGCGGCACCAGGTAATTTTTTGCGCACTGCTCGTTACAGATGCCTATGCGTTCTTTAGAAATACCCTTTTCAACTGATTCTGAAGGACTTGGGGCTTGCATAACCCCAACCTCGTTGCTCTGCGTCCATACTCGGCTCACTCTGGACAAAATTTGTAGTCCGTGTAAGACTCCTTCACTTATTCCTGTGGGTCTGTGGAACTTTTGCATGTGTGTCCGCATGCCGTCAGGCTTGAGTAGCCCAGTGTCAGTGGCAGCAGCGTTGGCGGGGCTCCGACACAAGGGGCCTCTCCCGTTTGGCCGAATCCCACCCATGTGTGTTTGCGAGTATCAGCTTGTTGTGATTGAGTTTATGCAAGGGACTGTGTGAGTGACTTCAACAAAAAGTGCGTTCAGCTCAGGGCGAGTTCTGACGGGGGACAAAGCTATTCCCGTTACAGTCAGCACTCACGTTAAGGCATTAGGGGTTCTTCAGTCATGCTGCATGCTTACATCTTCGCGTGCATGCACTTCTGCATCCCTGCGTGTGTGCATGCCTGCATGTCAGGATGTTGGCGGGAGAGGGAGCACTCATGTGGGCTCAGAAGCATGCTCCAGATGCTGTTGCACGGTGCCCACAGGTGGGTGGGTGGGTGGGTGGGTGTGTGGGGGGGGGGGGTTTGGGGAGAAGGGAGGGGGGGGGGTGGGGAGAAGGGAGAGGGGGGGGGGGTGGGGGTCGTCTGTGTGTCTGTGTCTGTGTATGTGTCTGCATGCAAGCGTGTGTTTGCGTGTGCGTGCACCTCTCCACAAATGTTTGACCTTACATTCCGTTCCCCCAGCTCTTGAATTCGCCGTGCTCTAGTGTCATCTCGCCTCACCAGAGTCCAGGGCACTCTCATGCTTGACCCAAAATTTTCATGCATGCTGTGCACGGGATGGCACTTCATGGGGTGGGGTGGCACGGCATGGCATGGCAGGATCTAGTGACGGCAGCAGCAGCAGCACAGTGGCGCAAGTACAGGCGACTGGTGGGAGCCCTGGAGCAGCTGCAGGGGGGAGGGGGGGGCGTTGGAAAGGGGGCAGAGTGGCGGGATGAGCAGGGCGGCAGGGGCATGCGGGAGGAAGCTAGAGAGAGGGAAGGGAAACCAGGTCTGGGGGGATTGGAGGGGGAGCAGAGGGAGGGCTATGGAGGGGAGGTTGATTGGTGTGGGGCGAAGGGGGAGGAAGTGCACTGGCAGCAGGAAGGTGGAGAGGGCAAAGGAAAGGCAAGGGCAGAGGGAGAGGAGGAGGGTGTGGGAGAGGATGTGGGAGAGGGTGGGGGAGAGGGTGCGGGAGAGGATGTGGGAGAGGGTGGGGGAGAGGGTGGGGGAGAGGCAGAGGAGGAGGGAGAGGAAAGTGAAGAGGAGGAGGAAGGCGTGTGGGACACGGTGGGAGCAGTGTGCTTTGAGGTGTCAAGTGGTGCAGCAGCAGCAGCCTCCAGCGGGGGGATTGCTTTCAAGGTCAGCTCTATCACCGGATGCCCACCTCCCCCATCCCTCGGCCCTCTGTTGACAACTCTTCTTCCTTCCAACCTCTCGTCCCTCTGCTTCTCCCTCTGCTTCTCCCTCTGCTTCTCCCTCTGCTTCTCCCTGCACGCCGTGCTCCCTTCTTCCTCTTAACCCTGCAGTCCCCTGGCAGGGTGGGCTGTGCAGCAGTGCATGGCGCGGCCTGCTGGGCCGATGCGTCCCACTGGCAGGCCCCCTCAGAGCAGCAGCAGACGTGCCTGCAGATGCCGCAAGGCCAGGTCAGTGGCCCCCTTGGGGAGGCTCAACCGGTGCAGGGCCAGGGCGAGCACCAGAGGCCTGCTGTGGCTGCCAGTGTGTCTGGAGCCGGCGAGCCAATCGTGGAGTGCCAGCTGGCGAGGCGTGCGTGCGAGGAGGCCATGGGGGGTGGGGCGTCGGATGCTGCAGCATGGGCTCTTGGAAGGTTCAACGCGCATGTGGCTGTTGCAGCGGATGCAGCTGCACCGGCAGCAGCAGCAGCAGCAGCATCAGCATCAGCATCAGCATCAGCATCAGCATCAGCATCAGCAGCAGCATCAGCATCAGCAGCAGCATTAGCATCAGCAGCAGCAGCAGCAGCAGCAGCAGGATACTCATCACAGAACAACCATGTGATTCCATCCAAGGCAAATGGGGAAGCAGCCGAGCAATTTGGTTCAGGGGCACAGAAGGTGCGCGAGGCAGTGGGGAGGAGGCAGTGGCCCGTGGCATCTGACGTTGGGCTGCTGCTGCTTTCTGCGCACCCGCAGCAAAAGGTACTGATTTATGCGCACATTGACCTCCTAATCCTGCGGTGTTTGCTTTTACAACCGTGCAGCGTTGTCGTGCATGTTTATGTGCAGTACATTATTGGATGGTGTGCTTCTTGTTGTGGTTCAGAGTGGTGAAGTAGCAGTTGAGCTGGTAGCATCCCTCCAGGCTCGCTCTTTTGGATTCGGCGTGACCTCCTCTTCCGCGGACTCCCGGTTACATGTATGTGTTTTTCTACCGCAATACTGAATCATGGATTACAATTGTTCGTTTACATTGCTTACATATTTTTTGGTGGGTGGTGTGCAGGTCCAAATAATGCGAGTGACTGGCACGTCTAGTCCGAAGAACGATTGTACATTTATGTCACTTTTCCGAATATAAGCAATTGTGCATTTACCTTCGCCGCGTCCGTAGGAGTCTCTTTGGGTGATATGAAGGGCGCCCTTGAATGCTCGTCTCATGCGGAATGACGTTGGGCTTAAATTTCATGGGTAACTACCCGGATTTCGGCGTAATAATGGGTGATTTTTCTACCGATTCCGGATTCTGACATGTTAGTTTTCCATGAAGCCGGATTCTGACGGGTTTAGGTTTAGCCGCACCTGTGAAGTGACGTGTTTGTCTTGCGAAGTATCAGAATTGAAGTGATAATGATAGAGTGAGAGTACACACAGATATATACCTAAGTGTGTTGTACCCTCTAAGAGGTGACCCTATACAGTCTATACAAACATGACAAATACACATGTTTGCCACACCCCCTAGACTGCATAGGGGAATGTCCTAAACAAGCAGCTCAGGGCGGCACTACTAGTCCAACCTCTGAGACAAGGGTCTGAGAGACCAGTCAGAAGGGGTACAGACAAGGCAAGAACAAGAGCAGGACGGCACTACTAGTCCAGCCACTGGGAGAGGACACAAGTCCAGTCTGAGTATACATATAAAGGACAGTACAAAGTCAAGGTCCTAGCAAGTGAGAGGCTACAGGAACTAGACCAAGCTGTACACAGTGCCGCTGATGATCTTTAGGCGCAAGCGCCTTCGTAAAGATATCAGTCGTGTTGGCACCTGAGGCCAAGTGTACTACGCGAGCCTGACGTCGCTGCTGTAGCTCACGCAGGAGGAAGTACCGCAGCTGAATGTGCTTCGCTCTGCCCTCGAATCGAGGCTCCTGACACAGGAGGATCATGGCCCTGTTGTCAGCGAACAGGACCGGGGCAGAGCTAGGCCGCTCACCTAAGTCAGTGAGCAAGAAGGTCAGCCAGCGGAGCTCCTGTGCCGCCATGGCACCAGCGTAGATCTCAGCCTCACAGCTGGACTGCGCAACAGACGAGGAGCGGGTAGCTCTCCACGAGACGGCACCTGAGCCAAGGCTGAAGCAGTAGCCCTGGGTGGACCTGAGTGTCTCAGCGTCGTCTGCCCACGAAGCGTCTGTGTGTCCAGTAAGGACCACTGGCCTGCGTCCTCCTAGCACTAACCCCATGCCCGATGTACTAGCAAGATAACGTAGAACCCTCTTAGCGGCACACCAGTGTTGCGGTCGGTGTCTGCCTGTGGCCACAAAGCGAGCCAGGATGCTGAGAGGGTATGCGAGATCTGGGCGAGTGCAAGTCATCAGGTACATGAGGCAACCCACCAGCTCTGCGTAGGGGCCGCTGGGCTCTACCAACTCCTCAGACACTGGAGCGGAGAGTCTGTGGTCTACAGGCAGAGGGGTGGGCTGTGCAGAGGAGAACTGAAGGCTGAACCTCTGAAGGACCTGGCGCACCAACTGTGACTGAGTCAGGGTGATGGTGCACGCAGCTCTGTCCCTGGAGATCTGCAAGCCAAGGTAACGGCGCAGTTCTCCAAGGTCAGTGCACGTGTGTCTCTTCAGCAGCTCTGCCTTCACGGAGGCCAGTGCGTCCCTGTCTGCTGTGGCAAAGACCAGGTCGTCGACGTAAACAAGGATGTAGAACGGAGTCTGGCCAGCACGAACGAAGAGTGAAGGGTCTGCGGAAGACGGAAAGAACTGCAGGTCAGCAAGCGTAGCACGGAGGGTGTCGTGCCACTCACGGGGAGCCTGGCGCAGGCCGTAGACGGGGCGCCGCAGGAGCCACTGGGTCCCAGGAGGGAAGGTGCCAGTAAAGCCCTGAGGGCGACGCAGGTAGACCTGCTCGTGTAGGCTGCCCTGAAGGAAGGCAGTGGAGAAGTCGAGGGAGTGAAGCTCGTGATCACGCTGAGCAGCTAGGTGTAACAGAACCCGAAGAGTAGTCATCTTCGGGGTCGGAGCGAAGGTCTGGAAGAAGTCCACCCCCTCGCGCTGACTGAAGCCTCTAGCCACATAGCGCGCCTTGAAGACAGGCGGCTCTCCAGGAGGGTGCTTCACCTTGAAGAGCTAGCGACCATCGACTACGTTCACCCCAGGTGGGGGAACTGCGTCGACGTAGGTGCCGGTGGATCTCCAAGATGCCATCTCCTGCTCCATGGCAGCTATCCACTGCGAGGCCCAGGGTCCCGAAGTCGCCTCAGCGTAAGTGCGAGGGGTCGGGATGTCAAAAGCGTCTGGGTCACCCTCAGGGACTAGCAGCATGGAACAGAGATGGGGAGCAGCCTCGGAGAGGAAAGCAAGCTCGAACTGGCGGTCCTCCAGGACGTCACTGCCAAGGGCAGGAGCACCCCCGACAGACGGAGGACAGGCAGGGTCAGAGACCAGAGCGGTGGCGTAGTCAAGGCGGCGGGTAGAGGCAAAGTCAGTGACAGCAGCGACAAGAGCGTCAAGGCACGAGGCCGGAACAGACGGGTCGGTAACGAGAGAGGCAAGGACCCGAGGAACAAGAGGACGAGCGGCACGAAGGTAGTCAGACAGCAGGGGGGGTGCAACAACAAGGGAGGACAGAGGAGGCGACGGCAGAAGGGGAGGACGAGACGCGTGGGAACGAAGCAACATAGGGTGGGAGCGCAAGACAGGCGAGGCAGGACGAGCACGGGAGGGACGGTGAGACCAGACGTGCGACGGAGGAGTCGGGTCAGGAGACAGAGGAGGGGACACTGGGGGGGAACGAGGGGGGAGACGGGCCGGGGACGAGTCCGGCGGAGGGAAAACAGGGCCGTAGACAGGACGAGGAGGAGACGGTCGGGGAGGAACCGACACAGGGTCGGGGGACGGAAGGCCGAGCAGGCGAAGGGCTGACACCGGCGGGGACTGCTGCTGCGGCGGCACAACGGCGACACCTGGACCGCAAGCTGCTCCTCGGCTACCACCGGCACTCTCCACACCAGCACCCCCAGAGGGACCACCCCCAGGGCTACGGGGACGCGCACCCCCAGAGTCAGCGAACGGGTGCTGCGACGGCGGCGGCGGCGGCGGCGGCAGCGACAACGACGGCTGCAGCGGCGGCAGAGGCGGTGGAGGAGGGGACTGGGGAGGGGATGCCGGGGGAGGGGCGGCCGGCGAGGACTGAACAGGAGGGCCACCAGAGTCAGAAGACTCCTCAACCGGGTCCACCGACGGAAGGGGGGTGACGTGGGACACAAGAGAGGGGGCAGGATGGGGAGGAGGAGGAGGAGGGGCAGGGACTACTGGGGAAGGAGTGACCAGGAACAGGGGGGGGGTAACCGGGGGACCACGGTGGGGGAAGCGACGGTAGTAGGGGACGGACTCGTCAAAGGTGACGTCACGAGAGTGAAAGAAGCGGTGAGACGGCGGGTGGTAAAAGAGCCAGTCGGACGCGTCAAGGGGAAAACCGAGGAAGACGCAGGGAAGGGTGCGGGCAGTGAGCTTGTCCGTGCCGGAGGCACGGACGTGAGCAAGGCAGCCCCAGACGTGGAACGCAGACGCGTCACCAGGAGACCCAGTCCAAAGACGGGTCGGCGAAACCTGCGGCTGCTGAGGGTGCGGCCACAAGTTAAGCTGGTGAGAAGCGTAGCGCACAGCGAACGGCCACAGAAAATGGGGTGCACCGGCATGGATCATGGAGGTGCGAGCCACCTCCATGACCAAACCGATGCGTCGCTCAGCGACCCCATTCTGCTGTGGGGAGTCCGGTAGGGTGAACGTCTGGGTGATGCCCTCCGCACGACAAAAGCGACCAAGGACACCTGAGGCAAACTCGCCACCACGGTCTGAGTGAAGACGCAAGACAGGGAGACCGCGGTGGACACGCGCAGAGACAAGCCAGGGGATGAGAGCGCCAGGCACGTCGGCCTTGCGCTCCAGGGGAAAGACTGTGGTGTAACGAGTGAAGTCGTCGACAAGCACAAGGAAGTAGCGCTCTCGACGCGGCCCAGGGACAGGGGCGGGGCCCCAGACGTCCAGGTGCAGGGTCTGCAACGGCGCGGCGGTAGGGGGAAACGAGGAGGAGTGAGGGGCACGGCGAAGCCGACCCTCGACACAAGGCGTGCAAGGTGGGGCTGGGGAGGAGGGAAACGCGGGGAGGGAACCTGGGAGACCAAGGACAAGACCGTGCTGGGACATGTGACGCAGACGCGGGAGCGCAGGGTGACCTAGGCGGTGGTGCCAAAGGAGGGTCGGGTGAGTGAGGGACCGACAGGAGCAGGCAGCAGCAACCTGGGTGAGCGCTCCAGCCGGGGGGGTCACGGTGTCCAGAGTGAACACGCCGGACACCGGGTCCCGGGGAAACGTGGACAGGGGGGCACCAGTGGCGGCCTCGGTACAGACAGCATACCGCTCGTGACCAGGGAACGTAGTGGTGACGCCAAGGTCCTGGAGGCAGCCGACACCAACTAGGTTCCTGGAGAACGAGGGGATATGCAGACCTGTAAGAGTGCCCGAAGGAACCGCCGGACAGGGAAGAGTGGTGGAACTGCGGGCGACTACCGGACCGCCGGAGGGGTCAGCAAGAGAAACGGCAGCACGAACAGGAAGCGGCGCCAGGGTGGTGGAGTCGCGGAAGAAACACCGAGAAGCGCTAGAGTCCAAGGTGAAGGAAAGCGAAGCAGAGGCGTCTGGCAACGGAACGACGGTGGAAGCACCAAGACTACACAAAGCAGGGGATCCTACGCCTGACGCAGCAGGGGAGACTAAGCTAGGCACACCTACACTAGGCAACAGTGAGTAATAAGCGGGAAGCACACTAGAGTCATCAGCATACATCACATGCAGAGCAGAAACAATGGCATCCATGTCCATATCAAAGAACTGAATCTTACGACTAAGCAAACTGTGCCAGTCCGGGAGGTCTGGCGACGGGCCGAAGCGCTGACGAAAGAGGTCGTCCAGGCGACGAAAACAGCGGGGAGTGGAGTGACCGATCTTACCGCAAACGAAGCCGCGGCGAGGACCGGTCTGGATCTGGTACTGACAACGCCCGCCGCCAGAGCCACCACTCGGCACACCACCACGCGCCCGGCCACCGCCAGCGCCGGGCCACCCGGGCGGGAGGACACTCGTCTGCCGCGTCTGCGACGGCTGCTGCGGCTGCTGCGAAGGCTGCGACTGCGGCGGCTGCTGCGGCTGCTACAACTGCAGGGGCGGCGGCTCAGCTGGACTGGTGTCACAGGATCGAATGACTCGAGGATCGATTGCACTATCGATCAGTACAAGGCGCTTTTATACTTCCAGAGTACATCAGGTAACTAGGTTTTATCCTATCTAAAGGAATAGACCCTTCTAGAATATAGAATCACCCTGCGTATAGCCACGCGAGGCT